TCTCTCTCTCTCTCTCTCTCTCTCTCTCTCTCTCTCTCTCTCTCTCTCACTCTCTTTCTCCTCCCTTCAATTTCCCTTTATTCCCTTCACCCGATCTCCCTCCCACCCCCCTCCCTCAATCCTCCCCGCCCGTTCCGTTCCGTCACTGGCCTCTGCCAGGAAAAGCGATTTCATTGTTTGCGCGAGTGGCTTTCTCTATTTCTTGCGCAGGCCGGAAATATGGCGCGCCAGAGCTGGCTGGATGCTAAGTGAAATTCGCATCGCCGGTGCGGACGACTCTTTGTACTCTCTTCTGGGTATATACGATATGTCTCTTGGTGTGCGTGGCGTGCACGGCTACCGTGTGAAGTGTGGCGCCAGCGTGTATCTCGTTCGCGTGCGTCGTTTGTCGTCTCGAGAGACTCGAGGGATGCAATTGCGATTCGGGAGGCAAGAAAAACGAGGAATCGATTGGGGACGAGGAAAATCCAGTTGTCCCGCAATTTTCACTCTCTATATTATGTGTGTTTTTCTCCCTTTCTCTCTCTCTCTCTCTCTCTCTCTCTCTCTCTCTCTCACTCCCTCTCTCTTCTGCTCTTGCGAATTCGCAGTGATTTGCACTTCACGCCAGCGCATTATCCAGAAGGACGTGGCAAAGAGAAAGACATTAGCTCGTCTTCCCTGAGCGTCACTTGGTCGCCACTTGCGACACGTGATCGTCGAGTCGTGGGAAGAACATCGAAGAGTGAGAAAGACGGAGATGATCGAAGAGACCTCTCTGTCGGAGGTCGTTTGTGATCGGAATATATATCACAGAGAACTCTTGTCGCGCCGTGACAAACTGGCGCGAAGAGATCGGCAGTATGAAAGCAACCATAATGCCTAAGAAGAAGATAACAACCACTATCAATAACAACCACTACCTAAAACTTCGATTGAACTGAGCGGGGAGGTCTCGACGATGTTTCCTTGATAAGGAAAGAATTCGCAGCTGAAGAATGCATGAGTGCCGGCTATCCGTCAGATTAACGCCAGCGAGCTCCGCTACGAGATTCAACGAGATTCAACCGCAGAATCGCGAGATAGCGAGAAAGAGAGAGATCGATCGATCGATCGACGGCTATTCGTAAAGTATACAGGATTACGACGGTTCTCTCACGAGAGAGCGACAATTGCGCCTGCGGACATCGGATAGCGCTCACGTGTCTCTCCACCTTACCCATGCCGTTAAAAGCGAGGGTTGAACAATTAATTGTTGGTGGTGGGGGTGGGGGTGGGGGTGGGGGGTTGTGTTTATACGTTACCGGTGGTAAGACTAATCTCCATGGCACGTTGACGGTGACCGAGGACCTTGAACTGAGGCAGGGAGACCTCGTTGCTGACCCCGACGCTGTTCGGGCCCTCGTTCCACTTGTACCGGATGTCCCTCATCGTGTATCCGACTGAAAAAATAGAGAGACCCCCCGCGGTTGGTACGTACCTTCGCGGAAGCCCTCAAACGCATTTCAGCTCCGAGGGGGCCTCCACTTACCTCGCACCCCCATCAAACCTCACGAGTCCGTGCTCTCTTTCACTTTCTCCCCTTTCTCTATATCACAATTTTTCCGTTCTTTCTTTCTTTCTATCTATCTGTCCCTTTCAGCAAGTTTATCTTACTTTCTGTCCTTCTCAGCGAGAGATGTCCTCGCGGCGAGAGCCATCGAGAACCCACATTAAGCTAACTTTAAGAAGGGGCTTGTGTGGGTGGAATATATCTGACGTGTGATGAGAGATCGTGGACGATTTTCTCGATTGTAGGACACGATCGAGAAGCGGGAAGCGCATATCATCCGTATTTACGAGTTCGTCGTGTCGAATATTGTTTTTGATGTTGTAGATGGTGGATGTTGAGAGAGCCGCAGGTGGACGTAATACTATTTCTGAAACTCGTTTGCGATTCACGTGAACCCGACGTAAACAGCTTTGCCAGTAGAACCGCGCGAGAAGGAGAGAAAGAGAACGGTTTGATCCATGCGTCGGGAGCAGATCTGGATTTCGAGTCCCGCATGCGCAGTAGTTCGTGAACATTCGCGTTTCTTTCGATGGCTCGCTACAACACGACAAAACGGATTGTAGATCATACGAGCTTGTACGAAAATGATCGGACAGCACGAGCGTGAGAATGGTATATCATCCACCTGCGACACACCGTGAGGAGAAACAAAGTCTAGGGACGATGGATATACGCGTGACCCAGCTATCGGCTGCGTCTTCCGCGTAGTGTGGGTTAAAAACCGATGAGTCGATCAGTCGATCCGTAGGAATAAATGGCCGCAGGACTGCGCGGTCCCTTCGAGTAAACTCATTCTTACATTATTAAACGTATTCGCGCGAAAAGACAACACAGTGATCGGTGCATATCGGTGCGGATAAAAACAGAATTCACACACACTCACACACTCACACACACACACTACACACATATGTATATATATATGTATATATATATATATATATATATATATATATATATATATATATATATATATATATATATAATATAAATCTCTCGAAACATTGCCGGCAAGAGTCGTGGTGTGTTGCCGTGTGTGAATGTACATACACCACTAAACGTGTACGCGCAAATTCACACGCGTCGTTACTCGCAATTCGACGACTATAGACGCGACAACTACGTGATCCGCACTTCTCTATCTCGCCTTTCTCACACATATATTGTATATACATACATATGCATTACTCGCGCGAGCTTCTGGACCAAGTTTAGAAGGAAGAACGAATAAGAGGGGAATATCTACCTGTAGATAGGTGTATGGTTGTCTGTCGTTGCCTGTGACCGAGCACGCGAAACTGCGGTAGTTCCACCTCGTTCGACATGCCGACCGACTGTAGGCCGGCGTTCCATTTGTACCGAATATCGCGCATTGTGTATCCAACTGCCGAGAGAACAAGAACACAAATATCTTCGCTCTAACATACAGTAATTAGACACTCAGGTGATGTTCGGTTCAGGATGGGAGGGCGGGTATCCTCGGGGAGCACATTAATTAGAAGCAAAGTTATCGCGAGCAACCTAAACCGTTCCCGTTGTTACGTCACGATCCAATTTTGTGTGCCGGGGAGTAGCATAAATTTCTCTCTCGTGCGGAATCGATTTAGGATGCCCCCCGTGTTGCTGTATCACGGACGTCATCGAGTCCGGCCTTATGATTTTCACCGACAGGGGGCGCTCTGCCCTTCACCGAGATCCGAGCAGAGTGTTCTCTGCAATGTTTCGCGCGCGCGGGTCTTAGTCCCGTAGACGTACTCACGACGAAACTCAGGATCCCGCGCGGGAATTCCGAGTTTTGTTGTCGCGTGTGCAAATTTTATGCCAGAGATTTGGGTTTATAGCCGGAGAGCAGGGCGCAATTTCATTCCGTGAGATGATCTTGGCCCTTTTTGCTGCTCCCGTGCCTCAGGATCTACATAAAGAGCGCTATTACGTTCGCGCAGACGCGACTGTCTCTCCCGTTCAGGTTCAGGCTATACTCTCTTGACGCGTCCGTGATACTTTCGGGAAACCGAATCTGCGGCAAGCACGTCTGAGACCGCGCGGGAATCGACGGAAGCCGAGCCGGTGCACCACTACTCCCCTATGCGCGCTACTACTGCGAAACGTAGACACACAGTCGGATGCAACACGTACCGATTTGAGCGCCGTCTCGCGCGCCCGCTCGGCGCCCCGCTTCTTCCAAACGAACGGCCCACAATTTCCCGATCGATCATTACTCGCGCCTCTATTTGCGCCCTCTAATTCCTCCGCGCGGCCTCCAGCGCGTACATACCGCACTGAGAAACATTCCTCCGTAACTGAATCTTAGGTGATTACGATCGTTACACCGCATTCCAGGCACCAAAGTGGCATTCCGTCGCGGTGGCGAGGCCACATTGCGCAAGCATCGGCCAAACGTGGATTAAGCGGTACGCCCTCGAGTATGCCAAATTAATTGCTTTTGTTTTTGCGTGGAATCCGGTGATGCGCACTCGCGCGTGCGTTTTATCTCGTCCAATAATTCGTCGCGATCCCTACGGCGGGCACAATCGCGTAAAACCACGATTTCGATAATGACGTTACGTTTCGCAACGGACATGTTCGACACCGCCGGTGAGCCTGCGGTTTAAATAAACGGCCTTACTCGCCGCGCGCTGCGTTCGTATCACGAGAGAGGACGAATGTAGCGCGAGAGAGGATGAGAGTTCGCATTCCCGCCGTTATTATGGCGAAGGCATCGATGTTTTGCAATAATTCGAATATATTTTAAGTTATGCCCTTCCCTTTTTCTCCTTCTCCCGCTTTCATTTTTCACGGGATACCGCGTAATTACATTTTTCCAGTGCAACGCGCTTGTTACGCTTACGGATGCGTTTCTACAGTTAGTAAAAGCATCACGTTTACCGGCAGTGACGACCGCGCCCCGGCACGAAGTTAGCTAAAACATTATGTCCGTTCGTCCGTTCGTTCGTTCGTTATTCCTGCCGATGGTCGTCGCATGATTAAGTGCAGCGTAGATAAATTAGTACTTTTATAAAGTTTTAATAAAGAGGTCCTGAACTGAGGGCAACATTAAGCATCACGAGAGGTTTGGGGGCTCGGTGGAAGGAACAAAGGAGTAGGTGGGTAGTTAGCGTTCGCTGCTGAATACTGCAGGAAAAAGGAACTGCGGCAACATTAGCAGAATACCCAAGGACTATGGTAGTGAGAGCAAGTTTAGGTTTAAGACGATAAGTGGAGAGTGTATAAGTAGATATATGGAGAAGCAAAGAAAGGAGAGAGAGAGAGAGAGAGAGAGAGAGAGAGAGAGAGAGAAAGAGAGAGAGAGAGAGAGAAAAAGAGTTTCGTGCTCGGCATGCTACACACACACACACATATATATATATATATATATATATATATATATATATACACATATATATAGTATGGCGTACGCATAGAGGGGCTCGGGGGATTAGGTAGATTTACATATATGTGCTACATGCTTTATGCCGCGCATTTCACGTCCTGTGCTACATACACCGTGTACCATGCTCCATTCTCCATGCGCCATGCTCCGTGTTTCACGCGAGAGACGCGAATTACCACAAGGGCTTTAGCCTCTCCCCTTCCCTCTCTCTTCCGTTAATATCCAAATGTTATTCTTGATTAAACATACGATATCATCGAGACAGTCGCGAATTAGGATTGAATTAATGAAACTTGCTTAACGTACAACACGCGCCCAACGGAAAAGCTCTCGCGCTTCCCTTTGCCTTCCTTTTTCTCTCCTTTTCACCATTTTTATATAATGCAACACAAAACAACACAATGCAAGACAAAACTCATAGCGTAGATCTTCACGTGCGACTCGTTCGTGTGAAAGATCGAGGTTGGACGCAAAGTACCGAGACATTGGAATACCATTGAACGAAAGGCAAGTCCGAGGTAAATGTATCTTGTCGCCGTAATCTAGACGAAACAGCTGTCACAAGTGTGCAATCGTCGTGTCCATTGCTACCTCGAAACAACGAATCTACTGATGAATCTCTCGTAAAATTTTATCCCGCAGAGTGGATCGCAAGTAGATGTAACCATGCCGACGCATGCCGTTCTTGAGAACTACGTTAGGAGTAAAGAACGTTCACACTACTATATACGTACAAGAGTTATTTGAAGAGGGTGGGGGCGAGGGCGGGAAGGGGGGCGTATTATATATATATATATATATATATATATATATATATATATATATATATATACATATCTCGAAACCCAAGTTTCGCAGATTAAAGAATCAAATCACAAGCAAATCCATAGGCATTACCGATACAATGTGACCGCGACGTGGCACGCCGCGGATATAATGTTGCAGTCGTTTCGTTCTTACATGCGCTGGGCTAGATGCACAATGCGTTTTAATTCGGTCGGACCATTGTCGACACGTCGTTTCTGGGTTTAGCCTCCTTCGGGGCTGGCCTTCGTCGGCCCTTTCTACGTCCCCGGACACGAGGCTCAGTGCTATATGTCGGAGGCTGTTGAGGTTCTCGGGGGGTTCGGTTTGGTGATGGTAAAGTGATGGGTGGTGGTAAAGTGGTGGTGGTGGTGATGGTGAGTGGCAAAGTGGTGACAGAGTGTTCAAACAGCACACCTTCATCGCGCGGTTCGACCTCGGGATCGATTTTCGACGGCGACGGCGACGGTAGCGGCAGCAGCGGGGGCGGAGGCAGTTCACGCCAAGTTTTCGTTCATGTATTTACAAGTGTGAGTGTGCTTCACGTGATGTATCTAGTTCAGCGTGATCTCGCCCCTGAATGTAACATTCCTTCCGGAGGAAATCACTATCAAACTCAGCACCGAACGGGATTCCAACCCCCTGCGAGGCGGATGCGTTCGTCGCGCGTGCATGGGACACTAGATATACCTCTTCGCTCTTGCAGCGCTCCCGCCGCATTGCCGACTCGCGGAAAGATCCTCTGGAGATACAGCGATCGCGGATTGTCGTCGATTGCCGATATGGTGTCGCGGTGTGTCGCTTGCGCGCCTGCTACGTGAACCGAAGGGCAGGGGGGGTTTGCCGGGATGGCCGGTAGAGACAGTGGGGGGGAGGGGGGAAATACGTCGCGCGCGCGCGTGTGTGTGTGTGTGTGTATGTCTGGGACTGCTCGTGTTGCACGTGTACGCGCGCATGGCCATCGCTCGGTACTTGCTGCCGAGCGCGCGCGATCGTCGGGAAATCACGCGTCCAGCTAAGACCGACGTGACGACTCACGGTCAGTGGTAGCTTGGTGGAGTGGAGACCCTTCAGAGGATGCTCGTAAATACGTTCGTATACGGTCTTTGCGTAGGATGTGACAAAGCGTGTCCTGTAAACGTATTGGTCGTATTGAATCTGACACATATCGCTTTCGATTCTTTTTTCTTCTTTTTTTCTATTTTGTTGATGACAAATAAAGCTACCTCACGGGTAAAGCGGTTCAGGTTTCGTCACTTTTTGCCGTGAAAGTCGCGATCGTTTCGTGTCGACGAGCGCGGATAACGACACGCTCATACTCGCTATGGCCCGAGATTACTGCAAATTGCACGTCTGTTTCCATATCCTTCAGATTGTGTACATCGCACGGTTACAGTCCGTAAAATGAACTCGATACTTTGATGTATGGATAAAATCGGCGAGACGATTTTCTAAGCTTCGGATTGTTCGTGCACCTCAAGTTTATTTGCTTGTGTGCGTATGCAGGATATATACATGGATATACCTTTTTAAATGTATTTTACGCAGTCGAAAGATCGTGAGAACCAGCAGTTGCACGGGAATGCGCGCGAGCCAGCGCCATTTTCGCCATCGCGGAAATACAAAATCAATACTAAGAGGGATAATAATATCAGGCTTAATGGCTAAGTTAAGAGCGAAACGAGGTTCGTGATCTGACACTTCTCACTGCTCGGCGAAACTAATCAAGAAACTCTCCAGAGTTCTACGAATTTGGCGCCTGCTCGTCTTTTCTTTTCATAGATTGCATCAATCGCAATACGCTTTAGGCAGAATTTCGCGCACAGGAACGTCAATCACATATTAAGTCTACAGTTATAAATAGGAACGAAGTATTAAAGACAGTCACGTGTTAAATCGCGCATGAGGGAATGTGAACATAATACCATTGGCTTATGTTTATCGACAGTGTCAGTTTCGTCGGCGACAAAATCTTGCACGCTTTATTGGACGTCGATTTCTTGAGAAGCGCTCTTAAAAGAAATAGAAGTTGCAGGATATTGCAAATTGGATTATTGATTTAGTGATCTACGTCACAATTTATCCCCGAAATTTCTTGCAGTGGAGTCTCACTCACAAGACGAGTGGAAAGTGACAGCACAATGCAAATCCAATTGTGATTATTTTGACAGAATCTCTTTTTGCATGTT